CATTGATGTCACGCTTCAGTGCAACAGGCTATAAACAATTTGCTGTGTATTACACAACGGTGACATTTTTTTTGTGTGTGATTTTGAACATGTTTAGATTTTAGTGATTTAGTGTTGACAACAAATTGTTGACCCTCACCGGCCCACCTACATTTCCAATTGTTGGTATTATTTTAGATAAGTTTGACACAAATTGTTTGACCCCTCACCGGCCCACTATCAAATCATTGCTGTAAGAAAATGAAAGAAACAAATTATTTCATTAAAGTATACAAATATTTTGTCAAAAAAAAACTTCACATGGATTGTAATTTACATAACCATGATAATAACACATTGCATAAATTAATATAGAGCTATTTTTAGCTGCCTCATGTACGTTGAATATTAGTACTACTGTGACTGTGTGTATTGGCAGCCTAGTGTATACTGTGTCTTTTATATAATGTACAGTCATGTAGGATTCTGTAATGTCTTACTAAAAATTGCATTGTTGCAAGATTTAATTTAGCAACGTTTTATCATTTGTTTTTCAAATTTCTCAGTGACTTTGGGGAAATTAAAACAGTTCAGAGGGAAGTTTATAAAACATTTCACAATAGGAAGTGGCTAGCCGTACGGGCCCGTACGGCTAGCCAAAAGTTCTAGCCGTACGTGAGTCACGTATGACTAGCCAGGACACACTGTATTGGCTAGCCGTACGGCACTTTTCAAAATTATATGGAGTATGTGAGTCACGTACGGCTAGAACTTTTGGCTAGCCGTACGGCTAGCCACTTCTTTCACAATAAGGAGTAGTGTTTTACAGCTAAACACAAACAAGATACATGTATTCTGTATAATAAATTAATTATTTATAAATCCAGTCTTTCCGAAAGACCGTCGGACCGTCGGCCCTGACCGGTAAAAAATCAGAAGGTCCGGTAAAAATATATGTATTGACGGCCCGACGGTCCGGTAAAAAATTAAGGTTTTTTATTAAAAACCTTACATTCAACATTTTGCAAAAGCCAATCATTTATCTAAATTCAAAACATATCAAAATATTTTCATTACACAATATAAGCTCGTGCAATGCTTGTCAACTGTTATGCATTCTCATAATGCAAACTTTTATGTAACTACATGTACGTAAGATAAAAATATCCGACAACTAATACAATCAAAAGTCAATAAGCGGCCGCGTAAATTACATAAGCGGCCCAGATGTGAAAGGTCAACGGCTATTAGTTTGTTTACACAGATGAAAGTGTCAGTGTATTAATTGGAACAATTTACGTCTTTAATCCACAGACTTAGAGTAATGCTTAATTACACGTGTGCTCAACTGTTTAGCTATGAAAGATCGTCCAAGATGTTGACAAAAATTAAACTATACTGTGAAGGTACCAAAATCATTGAACAATTAATCTGTCAACTTCACTAAATTACCGATATACATGTATATAATTCTATTTACATATGCCAGACTTTTGCTGAAATTTACCCTCTCATTTTGCTAGTATATAGTCTGTATGAAATTAAAGTTTAAATAGCAAAATCCATTGAATACATGTATAACAATATTTATGTTTACATTTTGATTGTGGTAAAAAAAGATAACTTCACTTTGTTGATAATATAGTTTTCTTTTTGTACACAAATTTTTTGACTGCTGACACTTATCAAGTGACTCAAAATGCTATACCAATCAGGTTTTTTTCGGTCCAGTAAAATCATGTTTGGTCCAGTAAAAATTTTCAGTTTACAGGACCTACTGTCCAGTAAAACTCAGAAGTCTTTCGCATAGACTGTAAATCTGAAACATAAATTTGGTCCGCATAATTTTACATGTTTGACATCATTGGAAGACATGTAAATAAACACTGATAAATCATAATGTATCGATATATTCATTTTGGTACGAGACATTACATCTATGAATTCATTATCAGTATATAGTACTTAATGTAAACTATGATGCAATACATTAATCACTTACCTGTTCCTAATTTTGTGTTGACAACGAACCATGGCATTCCAACTTTCACAGGTCTTCAATCTACTAGAGTCTGTGTGTTTTTCCATAGGGAACACAATTCACATGACTGCATTCTGTGTTTCGACATTTCACATACAAATAACCAGACACTCCCTGTTTAAATTCATCTAACATGTTGTCAAAAGTTAATCAGTGCTGTTAATGGTAGCCAACTGGTCCAAGTCTACATTTTTTACAAAATCTTAGGTTTGACCGTAACACGCCAAACTCAACGATTCTTCTTCCCTCTTTCCAACCCTCATTATCAACCGATTTAGGAAGAGTTGATGTCTTGTAGAGCTGGTTTGGTTGACACGTAATACTGGTTACCTGCACTATAGTTATGTTTTATAATAAAGTCGGAATACTTGAGTTTTCTGCATCTTTTTACACTTTTTTGAATCGACCGAGCGTGTCACGCTGTAAGACGCCATGTTAGATATCTGCGGAAATTACGTCATTTTCTTGGGAATACTACCACGTGACCGGGGATATTCGCTATTATTAGAATTCCGACTTTATACGTAAACAAACGAAGTTCGTTACGATAAATGGCGAGATATGGCGGTAATTGTCGAAGATTGCCGATTTCATTATGGGTCTTCTACCTTATAATTTTTTAACTGTTATTGTGAACTACAATACCCTCCATGATACATATGATGTTTCAATTTTGATAACTCTTAGGCAAAAAATAAAAATTTGTTTGTTTCCACTTCCCGACCCATAAAAATAAGGTTGGGTAGGTAGGTAGGTTATAGCACGGACTTTAATTGACATTTAAATCCGTGGTTATAGGTAGGTACATGAAGGACTTTTTTTATATGTGCATAATAATATAATTCCTTGGCAAAATAGTTATTTACTGAACAAAGTTGGATTAACTTTCAGAACTGATATGTTTGTGGCGATTATCTGGCAAACTTGTTTTTATAGAAAAGTTTCTGGTGAACTTTCAGCGAATAATTTTTTTGATAGAAAGATTCTGGCAATCTCTGGCAAATTAGTTTTCCACTGAAAGTTTCTGGCAAACTTTTGGCGAACTACTTAATATTCTGGTGAATTCGCCGCAAAGTCGCCAAATGTTTGCCACAGAGTTGCCACTAGTGGCGATATCTGGCAAACACTTGACACAGTGTTTTGGCGAACTAAAAGGTTTGCAGCGAATTTGCGGCAAAGTTGCGGCGAGTTTGCGGCAAACCTTTCCTTTTGGTACGGGTTACCATAATAATCATTATTATTATTGTGTTTAAACTGCAGATTATATAAAAGCAAAGGGAGTGGAAATGTGTTTTGATAAATCTTATAATTACTTTACTGAAGTAACAGTATTTACCGTAATAATTCTATTTAGCGCCCATCCTCTAATAGACGCCCACCCAAAAAAATGGCCACTTTTCAGCCCAAAGTTGAAAAATTAACTGCCCCTTTTAAACGCCCATCCCCCGATTTGAGTACAATTGAGCTGACCTTTACAATTCAAGTTTCCTTATTTCCGTTTTCACGTAGCAACGAACTTCCCTTTTCTTGTCTTTTTTTCCGTAAAGTTTATATGTACACGGTATTTAAATGCCACCACCTTTTACAAAAGTTCCTTTTTATGACGAACGCGGTTCTCCAAGTATTTCGGCACTCAGATTTCTACAATAAGTCCATCTTTGAATAATTTTGTAAGAGGCTGACATAATCCCTCCGGTATATGTCCAACAAGAGATCCATTATTTTTTACGATAATTGCGCTATCACTATGCTCATTTTCTGGTTCCAAATTACACTGAAGTAATAGTTCCGACTGGGCATGTATATTTGTAAACGTGATATCCCTTAATAACAGATTTTATAGACACAAGCATAGGTGTTGCCATAATTCAATGTGTTTTTGTGTATAAGATATATATACATGTATAAAAAATTACCATTCCGAGATGCCAAAACTCACGCCGCCTATTTCATTACGTCAGCAAGGTCAACGTGCGTGGTTCAATGTATTGGGGCCCAACATGGGAGATTAGTTCTGATTAAAAATTATTTTGAACAATAGACGATTGTCTTTTTATATCAAAATCCCGCATCAATCCCTTTAAGAACATATATGCTTGTGTCAGTAAAATCCGTCAGAAACTATTCTTACTTTTTTTTTAACAATTATATTGGCGGGTAAAAAATGCATAATGATCGGACTCGAAATATTCCATTGACTATTTTGAATTGTATAGAACATCCCAGATTACAGAGTTAATTGGTAACCTTACATAAATATTTCGTTGGGAAAAATCATAATATTTTTTGCAGTAAAAATGCGTGAGGCTCATTTTTTATTCTCGTGCTCGGATACCGGACTTGCACGGTATTAAAGTGCGGAAAAGAACAGACTTAAGCCGGTACGTTACGATACCGAAATCGACTTTAGCGTTGTCTGCAATTATAAATCAACATCCGCTCTATCTTCGGATTCGATTTCTTCTTATAGTTATGAGGGGCGAGTGGATTTATAAGCCTTGCTTAGAAAATTAGATTAGTTTGTCTAACACTCTTATGAAGATGCGTCTCCAATTAACGCCCATCCCCAACTTTCGAAAGTCTATGATTCTAATAAAAGCCCGGGCGCTAAATAGAATTATTACGGTACTTGTCGCATTTGCTTATAAAGCACAAATAATTACTTCTGTTCATTTACAGTAAAGATTAAAATACAAAATAAGTTTTTTGTTTCCCACCCATAAAAAAAATTACAGCTAGCCAAAAAATTGTATTGCAAACAAAAAATATTTGTGAATACAATTTATGCATAACAATTTTTGAATCATTATTCATAATGTGGCAAACTGTTTCTCTGACAAAATAACTGCATTAACCTCTTAAGTACTTTAAATTAACTCCTTTATTACAGTTTTAATTCTCAACTTAAGAATTGTGTTTAGTCTCATTGCTGAACACTGTATTTATGTGAATGTTGTATTATTTGTTTTCTGTATATTAGGTACGGCAGTATCGAAACGAAATTTTTCACTCTAGCTCTATGGAGTTAGAGGAGAGCAAGGCTAATTGTTATATCGATGACATGATAGCTGTTCTACAAGATGGTAAAAGAACTTGTACATCGACAAGATGCACAACAAGCTGTCAGGAAACTTCAAGATGTAAGTGTACATAAAGAATTATATTTGAAATCTTTAAGTTTTAATAATTTTAAAATAAGCTCAGCTCTAAATTCAGGTAAATTTATGATAATAGAATAAAATGCTTTAATTTGTTTCATTATAATCAAATTTAAATAACAACTGCCTTAAATTAACTTTTATCAATGAAATCAAGTAAAAATACCTACAAAATGTAAATATATAAATGCCATATCTTAGTTTTTAAGTTTTAGGTTTAAAGAAGGAAAAAAATAAAAATAGAAAAATAGTCTGTAAATCCTGCCTTGATTTGAGAAGTCATAACATAAAGTAAGAGAGTAAAGATTAAAGAAAAATTGAGATGATTTTTTGAAAAAAATAGAGTTTGACACCTTATATATGATATGTTATAAATATAATAAATCACATAGCAGCTACATTTGAAAATTGTTTCTTGTTATAAGCTAAAGAAGAAGGAATTCATTATTACCACTGAAGACTTTGAAGAAATTCTGACACAAATCAAAGAAGAAATGAGAACAGAAAATGCAGCAACCAAAGAGGAATTTGAGGTGCTCACAAGTAAATTAACTGAACTCAAAGCACAGATGTCGGAAGCTGAGAAAGAACGTACAGAGTTAAAAAGAAGATTTACTGTTCATGAGACAGAACAGAAAGAGGTAGAATGTGTTCAATTGTTTGTTTCCCTTTGATATACTAGTACATGTATTACCGTTTGTTTCTGGTTGATATACCGGTACATGTATTACTGTTTGTTTCTGGTTGATATACAGGTACATGTATTACTGTTTGTTTCTGGTTGATTTATCAGTACATGTATTACTGTTTGTTTCTGTTGATTATTGTACATGTATTACTGTTTGTTTCCAGTTGATATACTGAGTACATGTATTACTGTTTGTTTCTGGTTGATATACCGGTACATGTATTACTTTGTTTTCTGGTTGATATACCGGTACATGTATTACTGTTTGTTTCTGGTTATTATTTGTACATGTATTACTGTTTTGTTTCCAGTTGATTTATACCGGTACATGTATTACTGTTTGTTTTCTGGTTGATATACCATGCATTGTATTACTGTTTGTTTCTGGTTGATTATACCGGTACATGTGATTTTCTTTTGTTTCTTGGTTGATATACCGGTACATGTGTTACTGTTTGTTTCTGGTTGATATACCAGTGCATTTTATTTACTGTTTGTTTCTGGTTGATATACCGTACATGTGTTACTTTTGTTTCTGGTTGAATATACCAAGTGCATTGTATTACTGTTTGTTTTTCTAGGATTGATATACCGGTACATGTATTACTCGTTTGTTTCTGGTTGATATACCTGTAACAAATAAGAGTGTTTAATTTTGTTTCTGGTTGATGTACCAGTGCATTGTAAACTTTAATGTTTCCGGTTGATTATTTGTACATGTTATTACTGTTTTTTTCTGGTTGATTATGTACATATTACGTTTTTCCAGTTGAATATACTGGTACATCTGATATACTGTTTGTTCTGGTTAGATATACCGTACAAATGTGTTAATGTTTTGTTTCTGTTGAAATAAAAACCGGAGAAATAATGTAAAGTTTGTTTTCTGGTTGATGTAACGGGTACACATATGTATACTGCTTTTGTTTAGTGGTTGAATATTACTGGTAACATTATTACTGTTGTTTCTGGTTGATATACTGTACATTGTTAATGTGTGTTTCTGGTTGATGTACCAGTGCATTGTATAACTTTTTGTTTCCGTTTGATTATTTGTACATGTATACTGTTTGTTATCTGGTTGATATTTGTCGACATGTATTACTCTTTTGTTTCAGTTGAATAGCTGTAAACATTGTATTAAACTTTGTTCGTGGTTTGATATACAGTGCATTGTATAACTGTTTGTTTTCTGGTTATATAACGGTCATTATACTGTTGTTGTTGATTGAATTACCATACTGTGTTTATATGTTTGTTTCGAGTGAAGTACCACTGCATTGTATACTTTTGTTACGGTTGATATTGTACATGTGTTTACCTGTTTGTTTCGTGAATTGTACATCGTATTACTGTTGATTCCATGATATACTGGTACAAGTATTACTGATTGTTTCTGGTTGATATAACCAGTGCATTGTATTACGTGTTTCGGTTTGTAACGGGTATATGTGTACAGTTGTTTCTGTTGATAACGAGGGACATATGTTAATGTGATTCTGCTGTGATTAGTACGCGGTAATGTATTACTGTTTTTTTGGTGATAACCGGTACACGTTTACGTTGTTTCGTGATATACGAATAATGTAATGTTTGTTTGCTGTTGATATACTAGTTGCATGTATAACTGTTGTTCGGTTGATATACCGTACATGTGTACGTTTGTTTCTGGTTGATAAACGGGACATATGTTACTGTTTGTTTCCTGGTTGATATACTGGTACATGTTTACTGTTTGTTCTGGTGAGAGCATACGTACACTGTAATTACTGTTTTGTTTATCTGGTTTGATAGTCCGGGACATATGTTAAGTTGTTTCTGGTTAATATACTGGTACATGTTATAACTGTTTGTTTCTGGTGATATACTGGGACAATATGTTAATGTTTGTTTCTGGTGATTACCGTACATGTGTTACTGTGTTCTGGATTAATATGGTACATGTATTACACTGTTTTGTCTGTTGAATTATACTGATACATAGTATTACTGTTGTGTTCTGTTGATAAACCGGACATATTTACTGTTGTTTCTGGTTGATAAACGGTATCATGTTTTACTGTTTGTTTCTGTAACATACCGGTACATGTATACTGTTGTATTACTGGTTGATATACCGGGACTATTTAATGTTGTTTCTGGTTATATACTGTACATGTTGACTGTTTTGTTTCTGGTTGATATACCGGACATAATTTTTAATTTTGTCTTCTGGTTAATATACCGAACATGTTTTACTGTGTTTCTGGTCTGATATCCGGACATATGTAAATGTTTTTCTGAGGTTGATATACGGGCATTTTCACGGTTTTGTTTCCTGTTAATAACTGGTAGCCCCCAACACAACGAGGAGGAAAAAAAAAAAAAAAAAAAAAAAAAAAAAAAAAAAAAAAAAAAAAAAAAAATTGAAAAAACAAAAAAAAAAAAAAAAAAAAAAAAAAAAAAAAAAAAAAAAAAAAAAAAAAAAAAAAAAAAAAAAAACAAAAAAAACAAAAAAAAAAAAAAAAAAAAAAAATAAAAAAAAATAAAAAAAAAAAAAAAAAAAAAAAAAAAAAAGAAAAAAAAAACATGTATTACTGTTTGTTCTGTTGATAACTAGTACAATGTACACTGTCTGTTCTGGTTGATAAACCGGGACATATTTACATGTTGATTTCAATTGAATATACTCGGTACATGTTACTGTTGTTCTGGTAACATACCGTACATTATTACGTTTGTTTCTGTTGATATTACCGGACAATATGTTAATGTTGTTCGGTTAATAACGGACATGTATTACTGTTTGTTTCTGGTATATACCTGGGACACTGTTTAATGTGTTTCTGTTGATATACCGGTAATTTTTACCTGTTTGTTTTCTGGTTAATATAACTGTACATTTACTGTATTGTTTCTGGTGATAACCGGACATGTATGACCTGTTGTTTTTGTCTTGTGATATAACCGGTACATGTATAACTGTTTGTTTCATGTGATATACTGGTACATGTATACTGTGTCTGTATGATATACTGTACATGTAATTACTGTTTTCTGGCTTGAATATACTGGTACATGGTATGACTGTTGTTTCTGGTATGATACTAACTAGTACAGTAAACTGTTTTTTTCCTGAGAATTGATATACAAGTACTGTATAACGTTTGTTCTGTTAATATACAGTTACATTATGCACTGTTGTTCTGGTTGATATACTGTACATGTATAAAAACTGTTTGTTCTGGAGTATAATATACCAGTACAGTATAACTGTGTTTTCTGGTTGATATAACCGTACATGTATAAATCTTTGTTCTGTTAAGATACTGTACATGTATGACTGATTTGTTTCCTGGTTGAATAACTGGTACATGTATAACTGTTGTTGCTATAATATACTGACAGTGTTATACTGTTTTTCTGTTGATATACTGTACATGTATTATGTTTGTTTTGTTGATAAACTGTACAGGTATTACTGTTGTTTCTGTTGATATCCGGTACATGGTATGAACTGTTTGTTTTCTGTTAATGTTCGACATGTAGTAACTGTGTTCTGGTTTGATGATACCTAACATGATTCTGTTTGTTTCTGTTATATACCAGACATTATAAGGTTGTTTGTGTTGACATACCAGTACATGTAAACGTTTGTTTCTGGTTGATATACTGTACATTATACGTTGTTTCGGTAATTACATGTAGGACTGTTTTTCTGGTTGATATACTGGTACAATGTATAGACTGTTTTGTTCGGTTAATATACTGGTACATGTAAGACTGTTGTTGCTGGTTGATATAATATTCAGGTACATGTATTACTGGTTTGTTCTGGTTGATATACCAGGTACATGTATACTGTTTTGGTTTCTGGTTATATACTGGTACATGTTATTACGTGCTTGTTCTGGTTTGATATACCGGTACATGTTTACTGTTTGTTTCTGGTCGATATACCGTACAGTATACACTGTTGTTTCGGTTGATATACCAGTACATGAAACTGTTGTTTCGGTTAAATATACGGGTAACAGTAAACTGTTTTGTTCTGGTGATATACGGTACATTTAAACTGTTGTTTCGGTGATATACTGGTACGCTATAACTGTTGTTTCTGTTAATATACTGGTACATAATGAGTGTTTGTTTCGGCTTCTGGTTAATATAGCTGGTATACATGTATTGACTGTTTGTTTCTAGTTGATATACTGGTAACATTATACTGTTGTTTTTGTTTGATATACTGGTACAGTATAACTGTTTGTTTCTGGTTGAATACTGGTACATGTTTACTGCTTGTTTCTGGTTGAATATACTGGTACATGTATTACTGTTTGTTTTCTGGTTGATATACTGTACATGTAAACTAGTTTGTTTGTGTGATATACTGGACATCGGTATTATCTGTTTTTTTCTGTTGATATACCGGTCATGTATACTGTTGTTCTGGTGATATACGGACATGATATGACTGTTGTTTCTGTTGATTACTGGACATGTATACAGTTTGTTTCTGGTGATATACTGGTACATGTATTTACTGTTTTGTTTCTGGTTAATATACTGGTACATGTAACTGTTTGTTTCTGGTTCGATATACTGGTCCATGTAAACTGTTTGCGGTTATACTGTACATGTATTACTGTTTGTTCTGTTGATATACCGTACATGTATGACTGTTTGTTTCTGTTGATATACTGGTACATGTAACAACTGTTGTCAGTTTGATATACTGGAATGTATAATCTGCTTGTTCTGGTTGATATACTGTCACATGTAGTACTGTTTGGTTTCTGGTTGATATACTGGTACATGTAATACCGTTTGTTTCTGTTGATATACTGTTACATGTATAATGTTGTTTCAGTGATATACTCGGTACATGTATTAGTGTTCTGGTTGATATACCGACATGGTATAACTTTTGTTTCTGTTGATATACTGGTACATGTTTACGTTGTTTCTTGTTGAT